TGTCCTTCACTGTGCGCGCTTCTTTTGATGGCTAGGCTTGAGACGTTGGATCTAAGTCATAATCAGATTGGTAACGATGGCGCGGTAGCTTTGGGGCACGCGCTGCGGTCTAACCAGCGACTGCGGGCTTTGTTGTTGAGCCGAAACAAGATTGGCGACGCGGGCGTCGTAGAGCTGGTCCAGGCCCTCCAGCCGGGCCCAGGTTATTTCGAGTACAACCAATCGTTGGAAGCATTGCGGTAGGGTCGCTGCTGATACCGATGCTGCAATTCTTGTTTTACCGGTTGATAACTGATGAGGGATATGAGGACGCTTTTGCGTCTTGCGATGTGGTTGCTAGCTAAATACCAGCTTTCACGAGCCCACTCATCTTGCTTTTTCTTGTTGTTCTTGTTGTTGTTGTTGTTGGTTATTTTTTTTTTTTCTCTTTTTTTTTTTGTGGTTGCTGTAGGCTGGACCGCAATGCGTGGACGAAGCGGTGCCAACGGCGTTTACAGCAAGGCATGGTCCCGGAAGAGGAACGTAAGATTGTATGGACCTAAGTACAGCTGGCTGTGCTTTAGTGATGCTCATGTGTGTTTAGACTCGTGACACGAGTGCCCCCCCTTTTTTTTTTATCCGATGCTTTTGTTTTTGATTTCTTCCGGCAAAGTGATTAGCACTTTGAGCTCTTTTTTGGTTTTTTGTATTTTTTTTACATTTTTCTGGCTGCCATGCATGGAAGAGGACTTGATGACTGTGAAGAGCAAGGATTACATCTTTTGTCAATTCTTTTTATCAAACAGGCCTAATTTTTTTTTGTCGAGCTGCAAACTAGCAAAGTTTCTTGCCATGGAGGGTGTGTACAGTACAGCAAGGGGCTATGGGGATTGGGATGAAAAGGAGCGAAAGGTGACGTGGAGTGACGCCAAGGACACTGGCTAGAGACAATTGAGAGGAGGAGGAGAAGTGATGCACAAGGATTAAGCGGTGCCCGCGGGCGGGTTGGCATTGGTGTTGGATCCAGGCCCGGGGGTGACGGCGGAAGGGTCACGCATGTTGACGATGGGGACCCACATGACACCGTCTGCGCCAAGCATACAAGGAAGGAACTGGGCCGAAGTGAAGAGGGCCTGAATGGCGGAGAGGGCTTGTGCACTGTTGATCATCATCTGTTGGCTGTTGGCCAGCTGTTGTTGTTGCTGTTGTTGCTGCTGGAAGGCAGCGACGAGGTTGTGGGCCGGTTTTGCAGGGTCGAAATCGGGTGCAGCCCCATTGTCGCTGCCTGGTGTGGAAGGACCTGAACCGTGTGAGTGGGGGCGGGCGACGGTAGCGGGTTCTGGGGAGGGGTTCATGGGGCCGTTTTGAGAATTTGTGCTGGCGTCTGGTTGGGCAGCCGGGGCGGCGTGCTTGTGGGGACGAGGGGCAGCGGCGGCGGCAGCGGCGGATGAGGAGGCTTCCGCGGCATCGAGGGCTGAGGCATCCAAGAGGGCTTGCAGACGGCTGGAGGTGGCTTGATCGAGGTGGGCTGTGGCGGTGGGGGTGGCGACGTTGTTTGTACGTCGGCGGGAGGGTTTGATGTGGTGCGTGGCGCCGTTGGCGGTGCCCGCCGAGCTGCTGGTCAGCGCGGCGGTGACGGGGTGGGGGTGCGTGGGGATGGGGAGGTCAGTGCCATCACTTTGTCGGACAAACTTGGCTAGGATGTGCTTGTCGGTGATGCGGTGGCGACGACGTAGGTGTTGGCGCATGTGATCGGAGCGGTAGACGGCGTGGTTGCAGTGGGGGAGGGGGCAACGGTAGCGACGCGTGTCGCGATCACGGTGGACGTTGGCATGGCGCTTGAGGTGGGCGGCACGGGTGAACGTGGCGCGACACACGGGGCAGTGATGCACCTTGTAGCCGTCGAGATCATCGTCATCCTCGTCGTCTTCATCGAGCTCCTCGTCGTCTTCGTCGACTTCTGGGCCAGCCTGGGGGTTGGGGTTGTGGCTGTGGCTGTTGCTGGGGGCCACGTTGCCTTGGTGGGTGTGGCGTTGGTCATCTGCATGGTCGTCCTCGTCGTCTTGGTCAGTGGACGGGGTGGTGGCTGACGTGTGAATGGCTGAATGAGGGGTGGTGGCCCGATCGTCCTTGTTCTGGCCCTGGGTCTGGGTCTGGCCCTGGCCCTGGGTCTGGGTCTGGGAGAGCACCTCGAGTTCTGCATCATCGTCACCCTGGAGGTTGTGGTGGGAGGGGCTCCTTTTGGCGCGTTTGCTTGACGGGGCCGAGGGGTCTGATCCAAGGGCGACAGTAGTGGTGGTGGTGGTGGTGGTGGCGTTGCTGGGGTCCATGGCTGAAGCCGCCATGTTCATGGCGAGAGATGGAAAAGTTGGAAGCGTTGAAGAGCCTGATCTGATGAGATCCAGATTGAGAGCGGGTGTGAGTCTGAGCGTGCGAGACAGAGA